TCTTCCTTATACTATATTTCTCCACGAAAGAAATCATAAAATAGCTTGACACACTAGCAAACTTCTCGCTGTAACTGACTTAACGTGATTCGCGAATACGACAAGTCCAGCCTGGACTCGTCGTATTCTGAGTAACTTGAATTGCTGCTTCCCAATCGTTCACCAGCAATTTTCGTCTCGCTACAACAGAGGACAAAGTCCGAAACACATGAAAACTTACTGAATGACTGACAGACAGGCAGACAGCTGCAGACTGAACGACTGACTGACAAACAGAATGAGCGACTGACTGACAGACAAATGAATAAAGGCTGATAGTTTCGAAAGAAACTGTTTGGGGCTGCGTCGGTGGGAGTAACGAAATAATTTGGATATATCAACAAAGGTGAAATGGTAAATTGGCCACCGTAATGATTACAAAAGCTGACGTTTCGAGCGTTAGCCCTTCGTCGGAGCGACTGACAGACAGACTGAACGACTGACTGACAGACAGGCAGACTGAACGACTGACTGACAGACAGACAGACTGAACGACTGACTGACAAACAGAATGAGCGACTGACTGACAGACAGACACTGAACGACTGACTGACAGACAGACAGACTGAACGACTGAAAATTTCCCACATGAAAAAAAAAAAATTGCTAGTTTTGAGCTCACGTCATCGATAACTAAAATCAGACAACTGAATGCGGGAAACCTCCTAACGCTGGTCGAGTCATTGCATATGTGAATAAATGACCTTCTCAAGTCTCGGTCTAAGAAGCTTTCATGATTAGTTTTTCTCCGAAACGTGTTAGAGAAATTCACAGAAGTTGGTATATCCGCACGGTGTTAGTATAGTGACACCATCGTGACGTCATATTGGTGCAAGTTATTGGCTCCTATTTTTTCCCTGAAAGTGATTAATTGCACTCTGCAAAAAAGCTGACATTTTGCAAAGACAAATCTCATGCTTTAATTGCTCAAGGGACAAATGCCACATGTTAAAAGGATAGTTTTAAGATGCATCCGAATTCCTACTATTTTCAAAACAGCCCATCTCATTGCGCTGAAAACATCCGAAAAAAATCCATTTTGACACGACACGAATGAATTCGGTTGCCATAGATCATATCGCCGGTTTCCTGGGCTCGTTTTAGCGGAGCTTTAACCTAAGTCGCCTTTTCCCGATGACTTGAAAGTCACTTAATAAAAATAAAATATGGCGAGTTAGGTATCAAACCCGCTTATATCACTTTGCCATTGTGAGGCATTCTTCGCGATATAATTACTGTCTCTGTTGATGCTCATTTTTGGCAACTGCAAAATACAAGCCGTATTAATTCCCTTGATCAAATTTTTAAATTAATGGCCGTAGAAGAAGAAAGGACAAATCGCGATTCAAAAATCTGCGCTACCGTTTGTAATGATTAATTTGCAGTTTACTTTACTAAATCGGTTTTGATCGAATTTTTTTTTTTCTTTTTTTTTCTTTTTTTTTTTTTTTTGCGGTTTCTAATAGACCCCGATGTCTCCCTCCTAACTGATTATTTGGCGACCGGCGATGTCAATGGCAACAAAACACAGCAAGTATCCCTCAGTAGTTGCGCGGGAATATTGTAGCTAACCGATTTCGAAATGAACCAGCTCTTGTCCCCACATGACTCTCTTGAGAAAAATTAAAGAATCCGAATTGTTGAATGAAAATGAAAGGATGTTAATGAACTCCGTGGACCAGAAAAATTTGAAATGACACTCAGTTTGTAATGAAACTCCAAAACCAACAACTTGTGCTCAGAGCTATGTATGTTCGATTTTATCTTAACAGCTTAGTCTTAATTACTGAACAAACAGAAAAATAAAAGCTTCAAAAGTATAATTCCTATGCATCGAAAGACGTTGGCTAATCGCGAAGATGTGAACTATCCCCTGATAATCTTACAATGGCGCGAAAAAAAATCCGTCATAGTTTAATTTATCGAAATCGAAAGCCTAGGACGTTTTCAAGGCTTTTAGCCTGTTGCGGGTTGTGGTTTCAATAATACAGCATTTCGATATCTGAGATGTAATTGTAAACAAAATAATACAATGCCCTATCTAGTGCCAGTATATTTTGTAAACATGGTCCCGCATAGTTTTATTGTATGTAGTCAAATCGCTTTGAGACTGCACCTACGCATTTAATATCTCACGTACGAATGAAGATTTTTTATAATATTATTCCTAATCGCCTCATAAAAGAGAGGAATTTGACAGCAATACGGTATTTTTTTTCATTAGTCTTCGATGGTTGTACAAAAACTTAATTTTAAGGTGTATCTAAAGGTTCTTGAAATTAGATAAAACGTAATTACGTTTACACTTGGTATTTGGGAGACGAGTTGGCAGGTGTGTAAACTAATTATGGATTCGTGAAGGTGTAGTCTGATCGTCCGGGTGAGTGTAGTCCTGAGAAGGACTGTTGTCGGTGGTAGTGACTGACGTTTCGACAACCTGTGCGGAAGTCATCATCAGAGTCAAGTGAATGATTGTTGTCAGTAGAATGTTCTTATTCCAGTTCGTGTGAAATGATCGGTTGGTTTTGCCGTGATGTTATTGGCTGTAAGACTCAAGTGACGTAAGTCGGTCGTGATTGGTCTGTTTCGATCTGTCGGTAAAGTTAGGTCGTTCTTTTTCGGTCGTTTGTGATGTTTATGTCGTGAATGAGTCGTTTGTATGGAGCGGGTAGTTGTTGACATCTGTTTAGGGGAGTCTCTTTTAAGTTAGTAAACCAGCTTTCCAGAGTCAGTCGTTGAAAATGGTCAGTGCTGTAGGTTAGGCATTGCGCAGAGTCCCAGTCAATGTTGTGGTTGGTAAGTCGATGGTGTTCAGCAATGTGATTGCTGACATCACCTTTCCTCGTCGCCCGTCTGTGTTCAGTCAGTCTTGTTGTGAGGTTTCTGCCAGTCTCACCGATGTAGGAGGCTTGGCAGTCGGAACAATTGATCTTATAAATCGTTCCCTGTCTGTTCCTCGGTTCGTCTTTGTCTTTAACGTTGGTTAGTAACTGACGTAGTGTGGTGATGGGTTTGTGGGCGACGCGGATATTGAAGGGTAGTAAGATGCGCGAGATGTTTTCAGACATGCCTTTTATGTACGGTATGGTTGCTGTAGTCGTAGGGGTTGCGGTGTCGTTTGTTTCGGTAGTGGTAGTGGGTCGGTGAGTGTTTCGTCGGATGAAGTCGTTGTTGTAGTTGTTCTTCGTAAAAACACGGTGAAGGTATTTGTTCTCGTCGGATAAGCTGTCTGTCGAGTC